TGAACGAGATTATCGCCCAGGCCATGTGAGGATCGTCCAGCAGATCGGATAACTACAGGACCTGAAGTACAAAATATTGCAAATAAGTACATTTGACTGCACTTCGAAGTACGAAGTACAAGAGCTAAAAAGAAGTACGGTTAGTCACATTTGGTGTGCTACATATTTATGCCTGGCTTTTACTGCGGCCCATTTATTATTATTTACAGTTAATATAATAACTAAAATAAACTTAAAGTACTAAGGCACTAGCAACTAAAGGGCTTGCAGCCTGTGCGGCCGATTTAAAACTGATTATATCCGGAATTTTAGTCAAGCTAATTTACTGTAGCTATTATTTATAATGTGATATCATATCGTCTACTTAATGCAAATGTTTTCTGGGTCCTAAGGGAGTTTAGTAAATTTTCTACTACTAAACTGGGGTAAGTTATTTAACTGCAGTATTTATACAAAAGTTACATTTGTTAATAATTTTAACTTCCTTTACGACAAATGACAAATGCGTCAACGATAATGGGGACAACGAACAAAGCTATGTTAACACACATACATTAGTACAGTCGGGGACAATTAATTTTAGCAAAATTCCTGCATATCCTTTATTTTTTTCTTTTGATCTTATGTATTTATTTTAGGGCGCGTCAATTTGTATGGGAGATTATGTCGACTATGCGCGTACAGCACAGAAGGATTCTACGTGCAATTATAAGCAAATTTGCCTAAGAAACCATGTCAACAGCAAAATTACACTCTGAAGTGAGAGTAAAAAGTGAGCAACAACAAAAAGTACGGGAACAAAAATAAAACATTTTTTCAGTAACAGCGTCAGCCAGTGATTGCTTGACACTTTTCAGGATTTTACCAGAAGAAAAAGTTCGGGTAAAATCTTGCAACTTCATTCTCTACACAACTCTCCAAAAATCGCTCTCATTTAAAGGATTTTGGAGGAATTTGGGGTACGGGATCATTTTTCCTGTAACTTCCTGCAAATTCGTGTAAAAACCTGTAAGTCCATCGAGTACTGGATCAGAGCTGCTATAAGTGTTTTTTTTGGCATGACTAATCCATTTTTGCAGTTATATTTTTCTGAAAACTTCCACCAGAGGGCGCAACAGTGAAAATTTTCACATTTTCTACGAAACCTATTTTCGCAATTTGGCCAACTCCAAATTGATTTTAGACCTATGGTTTCTTCAGCAAAGTTGCTTAGATTTACACATAGAAACCTCCTATGCTATAAGTACATAGTAAAAATAATTGATCCGCCCTAATTTAGGTATACACAGTTATATTGCTGTAGGATGACGACAAGGCCTGACGCCTGGAAGTTGAAACTTTGGCTATAACAAAATACTTCTAATCTCACATGAGAAATTTGTTTTGTGCCGCACACTAGCCGTGGGTAACACAGTGCGGCACCGCGCGATTGCGCTGATACCGAGAGTTGAGTTACTGGCGCCGATACCGATTTTCGCACCTCAGTGACGCAATGGCGCCAGCAAAACCGGAACACTGACAACACCGGGCGGCGCAAAGAACCAGCAAAGAACACACAAAAGAAGTGTCACTTGTAAAATGTGCAGCACAAGGCGAATTTTTACAAGGTGGTGTTGCTAAAACAAGCCGCGGTCCTTCTGAATGTAAAAATTATGTTTTGTTGTATTTTTGGGTTTTGAACTTGGGTATACTTGAGTTGTTTTTGCCCAAACGATACCACCTTGTATTAATTCACCTTAGTTTAATACCGCTCGTCGNGCTAAAACTAGCCGCGGTCCTTCTGAATGTGAAAATTATGTGTTTGTTGTATTTTTGGGTTTTGAACTTGGGTATACTTGAGTTGTTTTTGCCCAAACGATACCACCTTGTATTAATTCACCTTAGTTTAATACCGCTCGTCGGCCGCTGTGGTGTAGGGGTAAGCAGTGCGCGCTTTCATTTATCAGCACCTGGGTTCAAGCCCTGGTCAAAGCATCATCCCAAAAAATATAGGAAAAGATTTTTTCTTAACAGCGGCCGTCCCTCGGCAGGCAATGGCAAACCTCCGAGTGTATTTCTGCCATGAAAAACAGCTCATTAAAATACAATCGCCGTTCGGAGTCGGCGTAAAACTGTAGGTCCTTCCGCTTTGTGTGACAACATCAAGGCGCACGGCACAAGTCGGAGGAGAAGCTCGGCCAAACACTAACATATGTGTAAGCGCCAATATATTATTATTATTATTAGTTTAAGACCGGCACACTGACAATACCGGGTGTCGCAAAGAACCAGCAAAGAACACCCGAAATAGAAGTGTATCTTGTATAATGTGCAGCAAAAGGCGAATTTATACAAGGTGGTGTTGCGAGAATTCGTCGCGGTCCTTCTGAATGTGAAAATGATGGGTTTGTTGTATTTTTGGGTTTTGAACTTGGGTATATTTAAGTTTTTTCTCAACCGATATCACCTTGTATTAATTCACTTTGGTGCAGCGTGCAGCAATAAAGGATATGAGCTTTAGTCTGAAGAGGCGCAATCGCGCCAACACAATGTGCTGATTCCGACAGTGGCGCTGGAGTTAGGGTGTCAGCGCCAAAAAACGTGCACCGTTACCCAGGCCTACCGCACACATAGAAGTGAAGCTCAAGTACAGTAAATATAGGTTTTTAATTTTTCAGTATCCCATCTTATCTTAAGGATACATGTTTATTTAAAACTTTAAGCAAAATATTGCCAGTGATTTGAAACTGATAATTTTGCGTATTTTGTAGTTTTTTTCGCATTCTGATCTGAAATGATGCACAAATGTTCATCATATACATACATTCTGGGCTATAATATCTGCTAGCATTCTGGTGGAAATTGTGTAAGTGAGTTCTGGTACTGAGAAATTTATTATCTGTTGATGTAATATATTGTGCACGCTGTTGAAGAGGATGAGCGACAACGTGTTAAACCACATCTCTGTAGTATAAGCCAAGAACTTCACCGAAGCACACCTCTCTAAAGCCAGACATAAAGACCGGTGTGCAGTGGTATTTAATACCCATTTTGTGCCCATAACTCAAAAGATTTTTTTCAAAAATAGCGCTCGTTATGTTCTGGGTCCCCCTAATGTAAATATGTATATATGCACTATACGTATATTTGTATACACGCATTTACTTCATAGTGGTCATATTTAATGTACGTCTTGCCACTTTACGAATTCACGACATGAAAAAGCAGACAGTGAGACAGGTGAGGAATGTTACGACAACAGCAACAATAAAATACTGATAGTGTGATTAAACGTATGTACGCATACATACACATAGTATATATAAACGAAAGTAAAACAAATCAATAAATTAAAAATGTCACAAATGAGTATATAAACAATAGAAAATTCAAATTCCAAGGAGAATTCATAATAAACGTACTAAATATTTATGTACGTATGTGTATGTATATGAATGTCTCATGGCTACCCCCCTGCAGTGAAAAGCTGAACCAGTATGCACAAATTTCAGTTCATGAATAATTATTTAAGGTTAAAAGTCAAACCAGTTCGTCATGGACTATAATTATAACAGTACTCGATAGTGAAATGCCAAACCAGCCAGTATAAATACTAGTTCATTAACTAGTATATGCCAAAGCGACGGCCAACATTTCGAACAACTTATGCGATCAGCGACATCTGTCTTGATTAGCCAAAACCAAAACTAAAATGCGGTTAATTGCTTCTATCGCAAATGTCGGCTGTGGCGTCGAGTGAAGACTACCGATTCTGGTTCTAAGAGTTCAAGTTCGAGTGCGCTTGGGGTGGTTAAAGTAAAGTAAGTCAATTATTTCAATTTAAATTAAATATAAAATAAAAATTTTACATAAATTTAATTTCATTTGGAAAAAACCGAAATAATAAAATACTATAAAAAAAATGAAAATAAATAATTTTTTGTTCTTTTTAAAACAATAATTTTAAAAATTACAATAAGAGATATAAAAAAAAATTAATAAAAAAAATAAAAAAAATCGCTTACTGAGATTCGAACTCGGATCTCTTGATTTGGCGGGCCAAAGCTTTACTCTGTCGACCATTGCCATTGTTGCAGCGCCGCGAGCAAAATGGCGTACTTATGCTTTACACGGGGGATGAATAGGCAGTCTATTCCGTCAACTAATATTTCTACTGGTAGCGTGCTGATGCAGGAGCGGACAATTGACACCGCCATGTTAAAAATACCAGACGCTAACATTAAAAGGGGATGGATAGAACGTGAACTAGTTGGGCTGAAACGCAATCGGTTATCATACTGGTTCACAACTGGTAGCTTTCCCTGCAGGGCCAGTGCGCGCGTTACCAACACACAAAGTCCCACAAGGTATCATGAACTAGGAGTTTAACCCGCAGTCTAATTGCCGCAATTACTTGGATGCATTGACTATATGTATGCATGTATGAGTATATATGTAAGTGTGTGTAGGTATATGCACGTATGTATGTATGCGCATCATGATGCAATTATAAACTCGCTTGAGTATCTACATTTGTATGTAATGATTTTTGCTGGAAAATGAGTGGCAATGGTCTATAATAGCCGGTCTTACGACCTTAGCCAAGCAAGTGCTACTATGCTGGTTGTTGTGTTTATGGTGGTGTTGTTGGTAGTGCTGATGGCATTGACGGTTTGTTGATGGCATTGTTGGCAAATGGTGTGCTCATAGTATTTGTCGAGAAATAGTGACTTCGAATGTATTGCATGTGTGTTACTTACTTGCCGAACTGGTCGATACACGTGCCATAGGTAAATAGCTGCGGCTATCGCTGTTCTCCTGTGAAAAATTTATGACATTCACATCGTACGTCACCACTGAGGCTTGACGTTTACGCAGCGATTGACCGCCGTTACCGTCATAGGCACTGCCGCAACCGCCGCCGCCACCTGCCAATATGCTACCGCGATGACGTCCTGCTTGCGCCGTTGTCATCAAGTTGGTTTCTGCTTCGCTGTCGTGACGTTTGAACAATGGCGAAGTTAAATCCTTTTCCTCCCCGGACAGCAGACAACCATCGCCACCGTCGATATCGCCTTTGTTGCCGCTGTGCAACGAGGTGGGCGAGAGCGTGGAGTCAAGTATGATTTCTGGCTTCGGCGATTTATTTTGCGGCACTTGCGATATTGCGTGCATCTGCTGATTTTGTGGTGACGGCACTGGCAGCGCGGTCAGCACGTCCAAGGATATAGTGGACGTGTCACTGGTAAAAGGGTTGCTTGTTGGCGAGCTGCTTGAGAATTGTGGCAATGTCGCTGTGGGTGGCGGCGAGAGGAAGTATACGTTGACCGTGTTACTTGGCACGCTAGTGTATACATTTGACTTTGTTGTGGGTAGATTTTGTGCAGAATTGAAATTGGGTGTTGGCGGTGGGGACACAAGAAAATTGTTGCTATTTTTCGTCACCAAAACTTGATCGCTCAGTGTGCTTAGACGCTGTTTAATGCGTTTTGCTGACTTGCCCGACTTCGATTCGGTGGAGTTGGATGATGAGTGAAATTTGCGATGCGGCGAGTCGATGGTTGTGGGTCCCAGCTCAGCGATGGGAAAACTTAGTGAGCGGAAAAGCTCCACAAGGTCTGTGCGCGAGGTAATGAGAATATTGCTTTTCTCCGGCAGTTCAACAGCGCGTTGTGTGGGCTGCTGGTGTTGCAGTTGTTCAGGAACTATGGGTTCGGCTAGTGAGGAAGGCGACAGTGATGGTGGCGGTGTGGTTGGTATGTGCGGTGACTCGGTTAGGCAGTCGGTGTACTGCGAGAAATCATCTGAACCGCTGAAAGCAACCTCCTGCGACTCGCCTAGGTCGATGAGTTGCACCGAGCCGTTGTGTACGTGCGGCGCGGTGGATATTTCGAATTCATGCGTTAGCACTGATGCATTATCCTTCAAACTATCGTCCATTTGTTCGTTGAGCACGTTGATGTCGAGCAAGATGTCAGGCGTGTTGTAGCGCGTTGCGGAGCTCTCCTGACTCTCGCCCATTGTAAATGAAAAATATACGAATCCCGCCTCGGAGTCTGTGTCACTGGGCTGGCGCGAGCGCACCTCATTTTTACGGCTCATACCGCCATTGTAGCTGTGTGACAGCTTGCGATTGCGTGAGCGTCGAAAGAGTTGTTCCCGGCTGCTGCGTATCTCCTCAGAATTAGCTTGGTGACGTTTCTTTTCGATCGAGAAACACTCGGTGCTTGAGCGTTTGGTCTTCGCCAACAAGCCCTTGAAAGTGAAGCCCTTCTCCTTTTCTTTCGTCTTCTCCTCTTTGACAACANCTGACTCTCGCCCATTGTAAATGAAAAATATACGAATCCCGCCTCGGAGTCTGTGTCACTGGGCTGGCGCGAGCGCACCTCATTTTTACGGCTCATACCGCCATTGTAGCTGTGCGACAGCTTGCGATTGCGTGAGCGTCGAAAGAGTTGTGCCCGACTGCTGCGTATCTCTTCAGAATTAGCTTGGTGACGTTTCTTTTCGATCGAGAAACACTCGGTGCTTGAGCGTTTCGTCTTCGCCAACAAGCCCTTGAAAGTGAAGCCCTTCTCCTTTTCTTTCGTCTTCTCCTCCTTGACAACACCCTCTTTAAGTGACTCCAGTTGTTTTCGTCGACTTCTAGTATCAGCTA